GAAGGAAGCGATCAGGTGCTGAGGTGAGTTTATTGGGAGCCCAAGGAGGTGCTGACCAGCTGAGAGTAGAGGTCAAGTGACTCAACAGAGAAACTAGGAGGGAAGGACAGGTGGCCCTGGGCAGGTGGAGGCATCGTGTAGGAGGCAGAAGCCCAGGGAGCAGTGAGGTCCAGGGGTCCTGAGGGCAGAAGTCAGGTCAGGTTAGTGGAGACTGAGGTTCCCCGTCCTGAGTGGGGGCAGCCACCTGACACTGCTCAGGACCAGACTGAGGACTAGGGTCACTTGGTGGGACCTGAGCCAGGCTGGTCCTGGGGGACATGCCGGCTCAGCAGCAGGACGTCTGGGCCGAGGCGGGGACACAGCAGGCCGGGCGGGAGCACAGGGGGCGGCAGAGCAGGGACACGCAGGAGGACGGGCATCAACAGCTGGGTTGGCAGGAGGAGGCGGGGCCACAGCAGGAGGAGGCGGGCACGCAGCAGGCAGGCCTGCACACGGGGCGGCAGATGAGGGACATGCAGGAGGAGGGTCTGCAGCAGGATGAGGTGCAGGAGGTGGGCTGGCAGCAGGAGGAGGCTGCGCAGGGGCCGGCCTCAGAGCAGATGGGCACACAGCACACCGGCTTGCAGCAGACAGGTGTGCAGCAGACAGGTGTGCAGCAAGTGGGCTTGCAGCAGACAGGCACACAGCAGGCCTGCTGGCAGGGGCAGGAGGTGCAACAGGAGGGCTGGCAGCAGCTGGGGACACAGCAGGCGGACTGGCAGCAGCTGGGGACACAGCAGGTGGGCTGGCAGCAGCTGGGGACACAGCAGGAGGGCTCACAGCAGCTCTCTGGACAGTCATCCATCTGCCAGGAGGAGTCGGTGCAAGAGTCACTGGAGCCGGGCAGGCAGGCGCGGTTGCCATAGCTCAGGTTGCTGGAGCAGACAGACAGGGCGGATGCGGCCATGGTGGGGCGGTGGGGCTGGAGGTGAGCTGGGAGAAGAGTGTGTGAGGGAGTGAAGGTGAGTGAGTGTACGAGGTGCTGGAACTGTCCAGCTTTTATACGCCTCTCTGGGTGCCTGTGTTGTCTCTGCAGGAAGCTCACGCCCTCCCTTCCTTGTTGGTGTTTGTGCTGTGAGCACCTTCATTATGGTCAGTCCTCTTGTCATGAGATGTCCTTGCTCAGATCATAAATGTTTGTCCTGGACGGGCTGGTTTCCCGGGCCTGAGTCTGACCCCTGCAGGGATGCCTGGAAGGAAGCCACAACTTCTCCTTGGCTGACCCTTCGGTTTCCACCTGGAGGCACCTGGTGGCAGCTGGGTCCTGGGGACGCACTCTGTGGGCCCAGCCTTTGGTGCCCTCACCTGGGCTGGAGGCCTGGCCTGTGATTGGAAAAGAAGTTGAACAGGCCTGGCCTGTTCTGAGGGAAAGGCAACGTGAGGACAGGCCCTTCCTGGGGGTGATCTGTGAACTTCCATGGTGTCGGCCAAGGGCTGCGAGGGCGATGAGGCTGAGGACAGGGAGAGACCTCCTCTCGCCAAGGAGAGGCAACTTCCAGCGGGCCTGGCCCCTGGGTTGTTAGGGGACCAGATTCACAGGCGGACCTGTGGGTCCTGAAGCACGTGCCTGAAGCCGTGGGCAGCTCCTGGGATAGGCACGTCCTGGGCAGGACCTGTGGCTAGGGTGGGTTAACCTGGAGGAGGCAGCATGGACGAGGCTGGGGGACAATTCATCAACCACAACCCAAAGGGAACCTTCATGAGATATAAATTGAGGATACTGAGCTTCCGGAAAATATTTGCAATATGCATGTTTAGTGTGAACATTAAAAAGTCCTTACAACTAAAGCAGAGTAAGATACAAAAGGATCAAATACAAAATTCAAAACACTCAGATTTTTAATAACCATAGGCAAAGCTATTCACCTTGTTAATAATTAAAATTTCTCAAATTAAAACCTAGCTGTTTCCCTGTAAGAACAGCCAAGATTTACAATATGCTCATCATGTCCAGTGCGGCTGAGCGTGGGGCCTCGCTCTCAGGAGCACCTAAAAGGCGTGTTTTTCATGCCTGTGTGATAACACATAATATAACATTTACCAACTTAACCATTTTAAAGTATACAGTTTAGTGGCATTTAGTGCAGTCACAGTGTTGTGCAACCATGACCCCTCTCTAGGTCCAGAACATTCTCATCACTTAATAGTAAATCCTAAGCTATTAAGCAGTCCCTTCCTGTCCCTGCCAATCACTACTCTGCTTTCCTTCTTATGGATTTGCCCATTCTGCACATTTCGTGGAAAACAAATCATACATGATGTGGCCTTTCGTGTCTGCTTATTTCACGGAGCACAAAGTTTTTCAAGGTTCATCAGGTTGTAGCAGGTGTCAGCGCTTCACTCTTTTTTATGGATAAATGATAGCCCATTGTATGGACATACCACAGTTAGTTGATGGGGGCATTTGAGTTATCTCCACCTTTGGCTAATATGAATAATGCTGCTGTGAACATTTTTGTGTAGGTTTTTGTTTGACCACCTCTTTTCAATTCTCTTGGGTATACACCTAGTAGTGGAATTGCTGGGCCGTACGGTAACTCTATGTTTAACTTTTCGGGAACTGACAGACTATGTTCCACAGTGACTGCATAATTTTGCATTCCCAACAGCAATGTATGAGCGTTGTATTTCTTCACACGCTTGCCCACACTGATGCTGTTTATTTAGTTTTTAATTAGAGTTACCCTCGTGGGGATGAAGTGGCATCTCATTGTAGTTTTGATTGGCATTTCCCAAATGACCAATGGTATTGGGCTTCCTTCCATGTGCTGTTGGCTGTTTGTATGTCTTCTTTGGAGAAATGTCTATCAAAGTGCTTTGCCCATTTTTAATCATGTTGTCTTTTTGTCGTTGAGTTGTAGGAGTTCTTTGTGTCTTATGTAGACTAGACTCTTATCAGGATTATAATTTGCAAGCGTGTTCTTCCATTCTGTGGGTTGTCTTTTCACTCTCTGGATACTGCCCTTCCATATAACAAACTTTAAAATCTTGATGAAATCCAGTTTTGTTGATTGTGCTTTTAGCGTCATATCTAAGAAACCATTGCCAAATCTAAGGTCATGCAGGTTTACCCCTATGTTTTCTTCTTAAAATTATAGTAGCTTTAGCGCTTATATTTAGGTCTTCAATCTATTTGACTTCATTTTTTCTTTTTGGATGTCAAATGATCTTTAATTGAAATATTTTCCTTTGTAGTTCTTAACTAGCGGGGCATTTCCCTGCACCACTGCTCATGTCATCTGTGATGTCATCTATGATGTCATGAGTGTGACGGCATCAACATTGCAGCCCACAGACTGGGCAGTCCCCAGGATCCCTTTAATGGTTCCAGAGAGTTCTCTAGCTAAAGATCGGTGCTGCATCTGTCGGGCAGTGCTGACAATCTCATCAGAAGTGGCATTTCCACTGTGCTTTATGTTTTCTTGCTTCTTTCTGTCTCGTTGCGGTTCTTTGAGGGCTTTGATGATCAGGGCCGAGTCAAAAGGCACTACCTCAGTCTGGGCCTGTCTGTCCTGAACAGTCAGTTTCACTATAACCTTAAGATCTTTCCCATCATTGGTTGCCTTAGTGATGTCATCACCAACCATTTTTAGAGACAGGCCCGGAGATCAGTCTTGGGGGCCAGCACAGACATAGCACCGATTTCCCCCTGCTGCTCAGGTATCTGACTTCAATCTTGTTGGGGTTAAAATTCGGCAGCATGGTGGAGGTGGCTGATGTCAGATAAACCCAGATTTGTATGAAGAAACTTGCACCTAAGGCTCCTCTGAGCCGAAACTGAGTTAATTTTTATATATGGTGTGAGCTAGGGTTCAACTTCACTCTTTTGCATGTAAATATCTAGTTGTCTCAGTAACATTTGTTGAAGAGACGATTCTTTCTCCATTGAATGGTCTTGACACTACTGTTAATAATCAATTGGCCATATATTTGTGGGTTTTTTTTTCTGGACTCTCAATTTTATTCCATTGATCTATATGTCTATCCTTATGCCAGTACCTCTGTTTTGATTACTGTAGCTTTGTAGTAAGTTTTCTTTCTTTCTAATTTGGATGTCTTTTCTTTTCTTTTCTTTTCTTTTTTCTCTTCTCTTCTCTTCTCTTCTCTCCTCTCCTCTTCTCTTCTCTTCTCTTCTCTTCTCTTCTCTTCTCTTCTCTTCTCTTCTCTTCTCTTCTCTTCTCTTCTCTTTTCTTCTCTTCTCTCCTTTTCTTGCCCAATTGCTCTGTCGAGAACTTCCAGTACAGTGTTGAGTAGAAGTGGTAAAAGTGAGCATCCTTGTCTTGTTTGTCTTAGAGGAAAGGCTGTTAGTCTTCCATCGTTGAATATTGTCAGCTGTGGGTTTTTCATAATGTTCTCTGTTATGCTGAGGAAGTTTTCTTCTATTCCTAGTTTGCTGAGCATTTTGTATTGTGAAAGAGATGGCTTTTGTCAAATGCTTTTTCTGTAGCATTTGGAATGACATGGTTTCCCCCTTCATTCTATTGACCTGGTGCATCACACTGATTGGTTCTCACATGTTGAATTATTCTTGCATTCTTGGGATAAATCCCACTTGCTCATTGTGTATAATTCTTTTAATATAATGCTGGATTTGGTATAATTGTATTGGATATTGGTCTGTAGTTTTCCTTTGTTATCTTTCTCTGGCTTTGACATCAGGATAATGCTGACCGACCTCACAGAGTAAGTTAGGAAGTGTCGCCTCACATTGTGTTCTTTGGGGTGGATGAGAAGGGTTGGTGCCATGTCTTCTGTTAATATTCAGCAGAATTCAGCATTGAAGCCACTGGGCCCTGCACTTTTCTTTTGGGGGAGGTTTTTTTTTTTATTACTGATTCAATCTCATTACTTGTTTTATGTCTCTTCAGCTTGTCTATTTATTATTGAGTCAGTTCACTCACTTTAGGTCCAAAGGTACAAAATATATTGAAAACGAAAGATTGAAAAAAGATATTTAATGCAAATAGTAGCCAAAAGAAATCTGAATGGTTATAATAAAATGGCAAAATAGATTTTAAGTCAAAATTATTGTCAGAGACAAATAAGACTTCAACTATTGATAAAAGGTCAATATATCAAGAATATTTGACAATTATAAACATATATATCTAGCAACAGACTTCCAAAATACATAAAGAAAAAATTTACAGAACTGAAGAAAGAAATAGACAATTCCAATTCTACAATAATACTTGGAGACTTCAATAAGTCATTTTCATTAATTTAAAAAAATGAAATGGTAGAACAACTAGATCAAAGATCAACAATGAACCCTAGCCAGTTTGGGTCAGTGGATAGAGTGTCGGCCTGCAGACTGAAGGGTCCTGGGTTCGATTCTGTCCAAGGGCACATGCCCCGGTTGCAGGCTCAATCCCCAGTAGGGGGCATGCAGGAAGCAACCAATCAATGATTCCCTCTCACCACTGATGTTTCTATCTCTCTCTCTCTCTCTCCCTTCCTCTCTGAAATCAATAAAAATATATTTTAAAAAAAGATCAACAATGAAATAGAGGACTTGAAGAACACTATAAAGCAACTAGACCTAACAGACATGTATACAACACTCAACTCAACAACAGCAGATACACATTTTTCTTAACTGCACATGGGATATTCTCCTGATTAGACTATATGTTAGGCCACAAGACAAATCTCAATACATTTAAAAATATTGAAATCACACAAAGTATCTTATCTGATCACAATGAAATGAAACTAGAAATCAATTACAGAAGGAAAACTGAAAAATTTACAAATATGTGGAAATAAAACAACAAAGAAACAACAAATGGGTCAAAAGAAGAATTGGGAAGTTGAAAGTACTTAGAGATGAATGCAAATGAAAACATAATAAACCAAAACTTAAAGAATACAGAAAAACAATACTCAGAGGAAAATTTATAGCTATCGACACAATTAAAAAGAAGAAAGACTTCAAATCAATAACCTAACTTTACACCTTAACAAACTAGTAAAAGAAGAGCAAATTAAACCCAAAACAGCAGAAAAAAGGAAATAAAGATTAAGACACAGATTAATGAAATAGAGACTAGAAACACAATAGTGCGATCAATGAAACCAAAAGTTTATTCTTGAAAACAACAACAACAAAATTGACAAAACTTTAACTAGATTGGCTAAGAAAAAATAAAGAAGACTCAAATTACTAAAGTCAGAAGTAAAAATGGGGCATGTTACTGCCCTTACATAAATAAAAAGGAGTGTAGGAGAACACTGTGAACAACTATTCACTGAAAAGTTACACCTAGACATAATGGAAAAATCCTTAAAACACACACACTACTGAAACAGATACCTTACTGGTGTTCTTTAGTTCTTCATATGGCTCCAAGTTACTGATTAGTGCCCTTTTATTTCAGCCTGAATTATTATTTCTTGTAGGGCAGATCTACTAGTAATCAACTCTTTCAGCATTTATTTATTTGGATATGTCTTAATGACGCCTTCATTTTTAAAGGACATTTTTGCTGGATATAGACTTCTTGATGGACAATTTTTAATGCACTTTAAATATGGCATCCTACTGCCTTCTGGGCTCACATTTTTTTAGATGGGAAATTGGCTGTCAATCTTCTCTCTTGCGATTTTTAAGATTCTCTCTTTGTCTTCTAGTAATTTGATTATAATGCATCTCAGTGTGGATCTTTGAGTTTATTCTGTTTGAGTTTATTGAGCTTCTTGGATGTAGAGTCCTGTTTCATCAAATTTGGGAAGTTTTTGACCATTATTTATTTATTTTTTAAATCATCACTCAAGGATATGCTTTTATTGACTTTTAGAGAGAGAGGGAGAGAAAGAAACATTGATATGAGAGAGAAACATTGATTGATTGCCTCTCACATATGCCCTGAGCAGGGATCAAACCTGCAACCTAAGTATGTGCCCTGATTGGGAGTCAAACCTGCACCTTTTGGTGCACGAGACAACGCTCCTACCAACTGAGCCATCCACCCAGGGCTTGACCACTATTTCTTACAATTTTTTTCTGCTCTTTTCTCTCCCTCATCTTCCTGGGACTCCATTTAGTATATGTGGTTGTGCTTGATGGTGTCCCACAGGTGACTTAATCTCTATTCATTTATCTTCATTTCATTTATTCTATCTGTTCCTCAGACTACAGTATTTCAGTTGACCTATTTTCACTCTCACTAATTCTTTCTTCTGCCTGCTCAAATGTGCTGTTCAGACCCTCTAGGGAAGTTTTCATTTCAGTTATTGTACTTTTCAACTCTGAATTTTCATTTGGTTCCTTTTTCTATTTCTGTCTCTTTATTAATATACTATATTTGGTGAAACATAATTCTCTTGGTTTCTCTTAACTCTTTGTCCATGGTTTTTATGAACTCTTAGGGTATATTAATAAAGTTGACCTAAAGACTTTGTCTAGTAAACTCAATTCCTAGACTTTACATGCCTTGTAATTTTTTTAAAAACATTTTGAATATTATAATGTGACTAGAGGCCCGGTGCACGGATTCATCGAGGGACACTGGTGGGGCCCCTTGGCCTGACTTGCACCCTCTTGCAATCCAGGACCCCTCGGAGGATGTCAGAGAGCTGGTTTCGGCCCGATCCCTGCAGGCCAGGCCGAGGGACCCCACTGGTTCACGAATCTGTGCACCAGGCCTCTAGTATGCATATAAGATCTTTGTATAATCTCTTCCCACCCTCCCCCTCTCCCCTTCCCTCTGAGATTCGTCAGTCTGTTCCATGTTTCCATGCCTGTGGTTTCCACTCCTGTGTTGAGTGTCTGGCCCCTGGTGGTCAGTGCGCATCATAGCTACTGGCCGGTCAGCCGGTCACTTAGGCTTTTATATATATAGAGCTTTTATATATATAGATAATTGACATCAGATTCTCCTCCCTTCATATAGTTTGTTGTTGCTGATTGTTGTGGCTTTTTGTTTGTTTGTTTAGCAACTCTTTTAAACTATTTTGTAGTGACTGTACTCTTTGTCATGTGTGGTCTCTGTTAGTAGTCAAATAGTAATTTGACAGATAGTTCCTTAAACACCTGGATCCCCCAATTTTATTTCCCCTCCTGGTCTTTTTAGCTGGGCTCTGTTGGAACGTGCCTTCAACCCTCAGCTGGACAGTTTACAATTCTGCCTTTACCTTCACTTCCTGCTTGCTCAGAGCTTGAAGTGCAGTCAGAGGTGAGTATTTAAGGCCTTCGCAGGTCTTTTCTGAGCACGCACCCCCTCATATGTAACATGGAGCTTCGAGACTCCCAGGAATTGGTGGAAGCTTTGAAAACCTTATTCTTGAAAGCATCTCATTCCCCAGCTTGTCATTCTGGGCTCATCAGGGTGTCTTCTGTTTGCCACAGCCGATACTCTTCCCTCGGGTGCCTTAACTTGTTTACTTGACAAACACTGCCATGCACACGCCTCCATGCCTTGAGAAAGTTCTGAGTTGGGAGAAATAAAGGCAAGCCCTTTGTGTGAGTCCTTCAACAAGCCACCAGGCAGGTTAAAACAAACAACCACGCTTACAGCGGTTCTCAACCTGTGGGTCGCGACCCCTTTGGCGGTCGAGCGACCCTTTCACAGGGTTCGCCTAAGACCATCCTGCATATCAGATATTTACATGACGATTCATCACAGTAGCAACATGACAGTTGTGAAGTAGCAACGAAAATAATTTTATGGTTGGGTCACAACATGAGGAACTGTATCGAAAGGGCCAGAAGGTTGAGAACCACTGCTAAGACAAGGTCTGCTGTGCTCCCTCCAGCACCAGGACTCACCGGGAACAGCACAGGCTGCTGAATTCAGACTGCGGCTGAGCGGGGATGGGGTGGCGCAAGGGACTGCGAACACGCTGCAAAGTGGTTCCATGTGGCTGCACCTGCGTTTTCTCTTGACAAGGCATTTCCTTGGCTGTTTTATTTATTTATTTATTTTTAAAAATATATTTTATTGATTTTTTACAGAGAGGAAGGGAGAGAGATAGAGAGTTAGAAACATCGATGAGA